GTCTTCCACTCTTTCTGTTCTCCTCCAGCTAATTTTTTACCCCTTTGTTCTCTAAATCCCAGATCTCTTGTCCCCAGCAGGTGGAAACCAGATTATCAAACATTGTAAGAAATCACTTAAAATCTTACAGGAAGGGTGGGAAAAAAAATTGCACCCTACTGACTTAATGTTGGGGTTTGCCTTTTAACTGGACTAAAATTGAACTACAATTCATTAAAAAGATTCATAGAGTCATAGAATCATACAATCGTTTGCTTGGAAAAGAACTTTAAGATCACCAAGTCCTAGCTAACCTAGTCCTGCTAACCTAGCACTGCCAGGTCCCCCACTAAACCATGTCCCTAAGCACCTCATCTATAGGTCTTTTAAATACCTCTAGGGATGGCAACTTCATGGGCAGCCTGTTCCAGTGCCTGACAATCCCTTTGTTCAAGAAACTTTTCCAAATATCCAATCTGAAGCTCCCCTTGTGTAACTCGAGGCCACTTCCTCTTGTCCTATCACTTGTTAATTGAGAGAACAGACTAACTCCCACCTCGCTACAGACTCCTTTCAGGCAGTTGTAGAGATCGATAAGGTCTCCCCTCAGCTTCCTTTTCACCAGGCCGAACAAATCCAGTTCCCTCAGCCCCTCTTCATAAGACATGTGAATCTAAACCCCCCACCAGCTTCGTTGCCCTTCTTTGGACACACTCCAGCACCTCAACATCTTTCTTGTGGTGAGTGGCCCAAAACTGAACACAAGACTTGAGGTGTGGCCTCACCAGTGCCTGGCAACAGCAGAAGTAGGGAAGGGATGACACCAAGTTGGCCAGGAGTGTTGATCTGCTTGAGGGCAGGAAGGTTCTGCAGAGAGATCTGGACAGACTGGATCGCTGGGCCAAGATCAGCTGTAGAAGGTTCAACAACGCCAAATGCTGGGTCCTGCGCTTTGGCCACAACAACCCCCAGCAGCACTACAGGCTTGGGGAGGAGTGGCTGGAGAGCTGTCAGGCAGAGAGGGACCTGACGGTGTTGATGTAGAGCTGACTGAACATGAGCCAGCAGGGTGCCCAGGTGGCCAAGAAGGCCATTGGCATCCTGGCCTGTGTCAGGAATAGCGTTGCCAGCAGGAGCAGGGAGGCGATCACTCCCCTGTATTCAGCTTTGGTGAGGCCTCATCTCAGTACTATGTCCAGTTTTGGGCCCCTCACCACAAGAGGGACGCTGAGGTGCTGGAGATGGTACAGAGGTGGGCTACCAAGCTAGTAAGGGATTTGGCTAATGTGTTGTACAAGGAACAGCTGAGGAATCTGGGGCCGTTTAGCCTGAAGAGATTGAAGGGAGACCTTATTGCTCTCTATAATTACCTGAAAGGAGGTTGTAGCAAGGCGTGGGTTGGTCTCTTCTGCCTCGTGGCAAGTGATAGGACAAGGGGAAATGGCCTTAAGTTGTGCCAGGGGAGGTTCAGGTTGGGTATCAGGAAGAATTTCTTTACCGAAAGGGTTGTCAGGCATGGGAAGAGCCTGCCCAGGGAGGTGGTTCAGTCACCGTCCCCGGAGGAGCTTAAGAGAGGGGTAGATGTACTAGTGCTAGGACAAAGGTTGAACTTGATGATGTTGAAGGTTTCTTCCAACTGAAACTGCTCCATGATTCTGTGATACTATGATTTTATGACTGTCTTCTCCCGACTGGCATCCCCCGACCCTCTTCTTCCTCCCAGGAGGAAGGGCACCTTGAAAGCCAGAGGCCCCCCAGCTGCCACATGGCTAGATAGGGTGCCATACGCAGCTATTTGCATGGCCATCACAATGGCCTTGTGATGTCACAGGCTACCTCAGCTACCTCTTCTGGGCCCCAGCAGCTGGCTGGCTCATTCGCTGAGCGTCCGGGCTCTCGAACACCACCATAGCTGGCAGGAAGAGGACCCACTGTGGCACAGCGAATTGTTGCCCACATCTGTGTGGGTGACAAGAGGAGAGAAAGCAGAAGGCGTGTGAGACTTCCACATGATATCCACTTTGCTGGCCTTCCCCCTGATTCTTACCCATAAACACTCTACCCTATCATCACCATTATTAAGCTCTAGACAATCAAAGCACTCCCTAACACACAGCCTCTTCCTTCCTTGACTGTCCCTTCTGAAGAGTTTGAAGTCATCCAGCGCAGTGCTCCAGTTGTGCAAGTCATCCCACCGTGACAACTCAATCCTAGCAAAAACAAAAAGCAGCATGAAATAATACCTTGGTCAGCTGGGGACTGCTTCATGCCATAGCTCTCAGGTGTTAATACAAGTGGAAGCCACAGGCAGGTTATGGCAAGGCTCTCCTTGCATAACATCTACAACAAGTTCTCCCAAACACACTTCAGAACTACTTTCTGTCCTTTTGGGGATTTTCGAGGACACCCTTTGTTAGTAACAGCGAGAAGATAACATTCTAACAGTGATAACAGCACACTACTTTCACACTGCATGTTATTTCCATGAAAATAAAACTCAAAATTCTATTTTTGAGTGGGGGGAGTGAAGTGTGGACTCCATGTCAGAATTCTGAGCAGCTAATGACTTACATGTGTAAAAAGAACCTTCACCATCACAGCAGTTGTGGTGGTGGGGGGTAATCTCTTCTTTCTCTCCAAAAGAGACAAAAAGATGAAATCTAGGTGCAAAGTTACACTTGAAAGAAATCTATACATATGTGTATTTTATATTCAGTATAGAAAATGCAGTTAAGATGAATTTATTTCCTGGAGGACAAAAAAAACCAAACAACTTCTCTTCGAGACATCTTTCCAGGAAACATTAGTATCAGATATGAAAGCTTTTTTTCATAAAACTACCAAGAAGTGGAAACTGCTACACTACCTTCCCACTAAAATGAAACTAATTTTAAATACAACAATGCAGGCATATAAACACAAACAGAAGACCCAGCCTGCAAAAAAAGCCAAAATAAAATTAGATAAAAAGTGATCATTGCACAGACTTGTTTATTCCAAGGAGACTGGAAAAATACATTCTAATTTCTCTGTCCCATTCCCCTAATCCTCTTTATGAGTAGACAGTCTCTCCACAGCTATTTCATTATGATTCATTTCTGAAATCCACATCAGTAGCATTCAGTAAATTACAGCAGCAAGACTACAGGTATCGGTACATCTTCTTATCCCACTGGGGAAAATCTTTAAAAAATGTACATGAACATGTTTTAAGTAGCATGAAGACAACAGAGTTATCTGTTTATGTACTTTACATGTAAGAAATAGTTCCACATTTTCAAAGTTATTATAGTATTAGGCATTTCCAATCACTTGAATTTTCACTTTTCCCAAGTCCCATTTTTTATTGTCTTGCACAAAGTCTAATTTTATCTAGAAATTTATTTCTCCTTCTGAGTTTCCAACCACATACCATCAATACAATTATAAATTATCTGAAGAAAAAATGAAGTAACTTCTGATCTACTCTTGATAGTTCAGCACAGTTATGTTTGTAAACAATACTTTTCATATGTGAACAGCTTTTCATTCTATGTCTCAAAAAAAAAATCAAAAAAGGACAGCAGCAACCACTATATAGAGAAAGTAATTTGATTTTACATAGTGCCCTTCACTGTCCAGCTGTCTCTAAGCACTTTACAAAACAATAAGCTTCCTAAATGTACCACTGTACAGGCAAATACCGCAACTGTTCTACACCCCACAAGCGCTCATCTCTAACCAAAGGAATCTCATAGTGAGAGGCTGCACCTGAACCCAAGACACTGGGGAGCGCTATTTTATCTGTAGGCACAATGCTGCACGCATTTAAAATTATGAAGTATAAAATAAAGTATGACAAACCAGTACTGTAAACGTATGTTGGATGCAACATATCTCTTGACTAAAAAAAAAAAAGGTAGTCCTTAATAGCTGTTTAGTTTATGTTGCATTTTTCTTATACACCAGACAATATTCTAGAGCAAAGTCTCTAAATCAGGAAAATCATCTCCTAAAATAAAAAATCACTCGCAAAGGTGAGAGGATTCTTACTAATAACTTACTCTTTGTAAGGAAAAATTAGTCCTTGATGGCAAGCCACTGCCCAGCTCCTTCAGTTCTTCCATTTCCACCACGAGTCAGCAATATCAACCTTTTGTTTCAGCCATCATAACAAATCAGACAATGCTCACCTTTGTTCTCAGTACAAGCTGGATAAAGCTGTCTGTCTATATTACCATTTCCTCTCCTCCTACTTAACAGCTGTCTTTTTTTGGTTTTATTTTTAATGTAAACCATAGGTACACATGGCCCAGATATAATCCTGCAGTAGAAAAAATGGCAGATGCTTTTACCATGAGAGTACAAACTTGAATTTTATACATTTTGTTAATCTTGTCTCACTGAATGAGGAGCTATCAAAAGCCTTCAGGCACACATAATTGTGGACGGAAGCTTTCCGTAAGGAAAGTCCTTCCTGTGTGATGGAACACTCAAGTTACAAAAACAGGATGTAGTACAGAGAGCACACACGTATCCTTAATTCAATTGTTATGGCACCAGCCCTTCTTAGCTGAATTACTCTTTGGAGTGAAGTTGTATTTTGTTTTTGTAGATATTTATTTTTAAAGCAAATATACTCTGCTCATAACTCTACAAAGCAGGCAAAGACAACTGTGCACAAAAGTGAGAAAAGTGAATACAACTCAGAAAACAATGCACAGTCACATATTAAAGGACATGGTAAACTGATAAGCCTGTTATAGAAAGATTATTGTCTACTTGAAAAGGATTACAGTCAGGATAGTCAAACAAGCCCCACACACAAACTAAACACAGTCTTCTATGCACCTGATGGCTGGATTATTCCAAAATCTGGAGAACAAGGTTGAAGTCACCTTATCTCCCATCTCATTTCATGCTACACTTCACAAGTGGATAAAAGCAATTCTGGAGTTCTGAGATTCAGAAACAAACAAGCAAGCAAGCTCTCCTCTTCCCCCTGCTCCACCCTGCACAAAGGAAGAAATAGAAAGGAAACATTCATTTTATAATGTCAGTGTTTATTTACACGAGAGAAGGTTTACACAGATTGAAAAGTTGTTTCAACAGGAACCCAACAATTAGTGCTTTTGCTTGTCTTCAAAAAAGGGGTGACTCGAAGATTTGATGATGCAGCTTCAGAACACTTTGCTGATCACTTGAGAAAAAAGTGCCAGGAATCAACTAAAACAAAAAAAAACACCACACATCACAAATGACATTAGTTCTGTACAACTCGCCAGACACAAACACTTGAAAAAGCAACGTGCTGCCCTTTCAGCTACCTCCCATCCCATAACAGTAGTTCTGGGTGAGCTCTATCCCCAGCCTCTGAAAAGCATGGCCTTCAAATAATACCAGTTCACTTCAACCATTTGGCTGAAAGAATCCTGCAACAAGTTACAATACTGACGTGACTGTCTCCACAAACCATCAAAGATCAGCCAGATTATGTTCAGCTGTCTGTCGGAGGTCTGAGACGTAATACTTCAGTAAATAAATGCTATTTATTGGCATACCATGTAAGGGCAAATGGAATGCAACTTGCTTTCCCATGACATGGACTACACCGATGTTACTCTGCAAACAGTCTGGAACTTGACTCATGACTTCAGTTTCTCTTAGTGTTTCTGTAACTCCCTCACATTGCAAAAAGCACGTATGTTTTCTCTATAGTTCCTGCCAGTAGAAAACCCTCTTTTTTAAAGTAGTTAACAAAAGTGAAAACGTAGGATGTATCCTTCCTTCCTGATGAAAAACACATGTTCTGTCAACATGAAAAACAGTCATAACAAGGAGGAATGACAACTAAGGCAAAACAACCTTTCTAATTTAAAAAGGAAAAGTGTCATGCATTTGCCTTCCATGATTACTGGCAGAAAAATTAAGTCTTCTCATCTTTTTATGTGGACTACTCTTTCATTCATACTCAAAAGTAATCTTCTCCCACTAACCACCCACGAACTTCTGCCCGTGTTCTATTTAACAGTGGACAGGCACTACAGTCTGACAGAATATAACTACTCTCATGTGCACAAATCCCACTTTTTTGTCAACACGACAGTTTTTATGTCAATTTTTAAAGCAAGCAACTAAAAATACAGCATAGCATTTGGGAAAAAACATACCTTCTGGGGAAACAGAATCTCCACTCATAGGCACCGGTGCCTTAAAAAAAAAAAAAAAAAACTCACTAAAAACAAATCCAATATATCAGTGTTTAGTTAAAGTTTCATAGGTAGTACACAAACTCGAAGCTATTCTACTGATGAAGTCAAGAGATACTAATGAAAATAGAGCTTTCTGTTGCCCTCACAGGACAGTGTTCTACCTTACAGACTTTCCTTTTTGTTTTTTTCCCTTCTCCTGTAACTACTGTACAAATTTCTTGGTTGCTCATAAACAACAAAACAAATACACTAATAATGAGTAATAGATTAACATCTTACCTAATGTAAAGGGCATTTTCCTACTGTAGTCTTTGAGGATAACAGGATTTGCTGTTTACATACTGAAGAGTAAAAACGCCTTTCCCATTAGATTACTACTTGTTTCGGTATAAAGGTAGGCATGTGAATACATACACACAATTTATATTACGCATACACAAATATTTTAAAATAAATGCCTAATTAAACTCTTCTAAACACATTTTGATGGAGTAGGATTAAGTCCTGTAGAAAGCAACAAATAATTTTAAAATGTAGGTCTGTAAGCCCAGGTCCATTTCAAAATTGGACACGCCACTATTCAATCACAGTATTACACAGCACATCTTGTCCTACTACTTAAAGGACAAAATTAAAGCCAGTTTTAAGATGAGCTGGAAGCAACTTTCCTCACAAAGAGCAAGCTAGTTACTTGTACAGCAACAATTCCCCCCCGCCCTTCCATCAGCTCCTCACAAACAGTAAAGTTTTCCAAGCGACACAACTGATGGGAAAGCAGCAGAGAGCATCTCGACACAAGGAATCCTGCCACACTCACTTGCGCACACAAATCAAGTGCGAAAAACATGTGAGTATTGGCCTTTGCCATGACACCAGCCCACCCTAACTACGTCTACCCAAGCAGATAATCCCAAGAGTAATCACTTCAGTGAACCATGCAGAAAAAGAAACAACCTCAAAGGAAGGGTTTACAGCTGTTTGAAGCTTCAGAAGAATAAAGCTGCACGGTGACCACCCACATCTTCCACACCAACAGGTGGAACTTCCTGCCACTACTTAATGACACATGAAGACATTAACGAAAACTCAGCAGTATCGTGCAGGGCGCACAAACTAACTCAAAAGCCGCGCAGCCAGACTTAGCACAGCGTGGCGCTCGCACTGAGCTGCACTGGTGTGAAATTCTCTTGCGAGCCGGCCTGCCCCTGAGCAGGTCAAAGTCTGTGCAGAGCGAAGAAAAAATGCGTATTCTCTTTTCCTGTTTTACCTGGGGTAATTACCTGCACAGGGAAGGGTTATGTGATTGGTCTGAAAGGATGTGCCCGTGTGACAAATGTAATGCAGGTCTTAGAATCACAGAATAGTTGAGGTTGGAAGGTGCCTTTAAAGCTCATCTAGTTCAACCCCCGAGGGGTGAGCAGGGACATCTGCAACTAGACCAGGTTGTTCAGAGCCCTGTCCAACCTGACCCGGAATGTTTCCAGGGATGTGGCATCCACAACCTCTCCTGGCAACCTGTTACGGTGTTTCATCCTCCTTATTTTATAAAATTTCTTCCTTAAATCTAGTCTGAATCTACCCTCTTCTAGCTTAAAACCATTGCCCCTCATCCTATCCTAACTGACCAGGTCTAAACTCTTCATGTCAGTCTCTTACCATCCTTTCCTGATTTCTTACCTATGGGGATCCAGAGCTCTTGTACTCTACAGAAAGCACCTTCCAGGTATGAACACCAGACCATCCCCTCTCTTTCCAGTAAAATCAAAGCTTTAACTCATAAGGCAGTGAGAACCAGTGGTCACCATATATAAGCAGGTGCCCGTCACTTCTGAGGTAACTGCTCAGGGAATCGGAGATAAGGACTCAGCACCTTCCCACCAGGAATAGATCAAAAACTCATCCCACTAAACCAGAAATTTCTTCACTACACAGTGCCTTTGTTTGGAACACTGTGTTTAAAAATAAACAAACCCAAAACCCAAACAAATCATTTTAAAATCAACCAAAAAAAAACAACCCCAAACAGAACAACCAACCAACCAAAAAACCCAGAGTAAAACATCCCACGAATCTTTTTTTTCCACAACTGGCCACTGAACAGAAAATACTGGAAATGTCCTCACAGAAAACATGTAGGGAGAAAGGCACTTAACAAACTTTCCTGCTTAGATCCGAATTATTCGAAACACGTAAGTACGCAGATTCAGATTTTGTTGGAGATTTTGTAAATTGTCAGGAAAAGTCAAATATTCCCCCCTGTAAGGCATTGTTCTTCATTTTATCAAGACAGAGCTCATCTAGCAAAGCTTTCCTACTTCACTTTCCAGTATTATAAGGGAAGAATTATGTGCGAAATCTGAGAAACACTGCTCTATTAACTACATATAAAAAGTCTTGGAGATTTTCCAACTTGCAAAGTCCTCAGCAGCTTCTTCAGAGAGCAAGTGAGCAAGTAGTTCTCAGGATTAATGTTAAACAAAGGTTTGGCTGTCCTGGTCAGTTTTACAGATGGCAACACTTAAAAGCCTGAAACAAACAGTCCATCTTAGCACTAACACATTCAGCTACAAAGCTTTATTCCTCCTGGGTTTAGTTTTCAACATATACTAACACTGGAGCTGGGAAAGAGATGAAACAATTCCCAAAGACTAGAGAACACCAGAAATTTTTTACCGCCTAGTATTAAACCTCAGTTGGGTTTTATAGCTGCAGAGCTCCTGTAATTCTGGCTGGTTCCAATGTACGGTGTATGTGTTCCCATATGGACAGATCATCCTTCCATCTCTTTGGGACTGACTGGACACGGCAGCTCCACCAGCTGCAGAATCATTCCCAGCTGGCCACCAAAACAGAAGAGAGCACACATGCTCACCACCTAGAAACTAACTCAGTGGAGTGGAAATTCCCCAGCAGAGACAAGCCAGTCTAGTCCCATGTCTGTAAAATAATGAAATGTGAAATAACAGCATGATAAATTCTACTGAAATCAACTGGACTATCTTAGGAACCACCCAATCAAAATCTGTATTAATATTTGATTACTGAACAATTTGGTAAGCATTTGGCAAGCATTTCTTTGTTTTCCATTTGGTTCTTAGTTATAGTTCTCTTGCTCAACATAAAAATTGCTTCCTAACAATATCGAGTGTTGCCTTTTGGGGTTTTTTTGGAGTTGTTTTTGGTTTTTTTGAGAACTCAATATACCTGATTTAAGGTAATTATCACTCACTCAAATATTCTGTAATTGGAGTCTGACCCAGGAAATAGAATTTTAGGGAATCAGCTCTCATTGCACAAGTAGCTCAGAAATTTTGCAGTAGCTGAAATCTTTTTCTCACTGTACTTGCCTCAGCTTTCCTCTGTTTTTATTCTAAAGTTAACAGATGGACATCAATTAGAAGAAAATGTACCTGCTTTTTTGAACAACAAAACACACACACAAAAATGCAGAGGGACACAGACAGCTTTCACTTAAAATTACCAAAGCCATTAAAATTCTGCAGCCAGCACTCACGTACATTCAGTTTGAAAGAAATGAATGCCTGACAACCAAAGCGGGCAGTGTAGTGTACTAGACAAAAAGATACCTGCTTAAAATGTGCAAGCCAGTTTCCTTGCTTATATTTAGAGCTTGACTGTCCAGCACTCATATTTCAAGCACATTTGGGGTTTTTTTTAGTTACCATAGATTGAAAATTGCATAAAGTATGAACAGTACTTAAGAGTATTGCAACCTCTCCCTGTCCGAAAAGTACCAAGAAACAGTGTCCTACAAAGGCACAGTTAAAATACTTGAACTGAAACAGAGTGATGGAAAGGACAACATCATGACAACTTCACAAAAACAGTACTACTTAATGCACAAAAAAGCCAAGAAGTGACAATATTTGATACAAAGACCAGCACTCATTAAAAAGTATTAAAGTTTGATACAAAGTATCTATTTTATGAAATGTTTTGGTAACCTGCCCCCCAAAAAACAGAAGAAAAAATTGTTTTGTTACAAAGACAGAAAATAATGGATATTGCTGATTTAAGCAGATAATTATTTATCCTATATGCTTCAAAGTACAAACAGCACAGAACACAAAAGGAAATATTCTTTTGCAGGTTTGTCATCACCCAAATACGTTTGAAATTGAAATTGTAGTTGCATTTAAACACTAACTAAAGTTATTGAAAATTTGAAAGTATAGAGGAGGTCAAATATTTGCTTATAGCTATGACTGACATCTCTAAAAAAAATGTGAATTCCAAAGTGAGTTTTTCTTTCATTCAAAACTTACAGTTCCATTAAATAATATTCACAAATGCAACCATAAAGGTACTTTTTAAGAAGTGCTGAAAACAAGAGACTTGAATAGGATAAGCAGTTAGGTCTGACACTTCAAAAACCCAACTCTTCTCTGCAACCAACAGTCTTGGTTGCTTGTGACAAAAAACCAGCCAGGACAACACATTCTTTCTAGAAATGCAGTTGGAATGTTAACTGCACAGACAGGGGATGGCATCTCCTGTGGCACCTGAACTTGCATAATTACTGTGACTACTGGGGCAGAACACTGGCTGCCCAAGCAGCCACACACAAGTGCAAAATGCCTGCCATGATTATGTGGTCATGAGCACAGGCTCAATCACAGTGTATGTTAGAGGAAAAGAAAAAATAATAATAATACTTGGAGGTACTTTTCCTCATTTTCATCAATTTCTGGAAACTTTGCTTAATTTCTGGCATACAAACTAGAAGATTTTAAAATGGAAGAAATTCTCCTCCACTAGGATTTGCATATGAAAACATCAGACCTGCAGGACATTCTTCTTGCCTGAACAGGAAACCTGCATGCTTTAATTTAACGTTAGTTTTCAGAATATGACAAGCATTCCTTAAGAAACATTCAAAAAAAGCATCCCCTTCTCTGACAGCAATGCATTTAATTATGCAAGTAGACAAACAAAGGATCCCTTTAGTGATTAGGGACTACAGTCAATGAGTTCTAACACTGGGTGGTAACTCATGGCAACAGGGGAGACAGAGAAGACAGCAGGCTAGATACAAACAGCAGCCCGTCTTGCTATTCAGGATCAGAAGAAACAGCACTGCTGAGAGAAAAAAACAAAACAAAACAAAAAAACCCACCAGAACAATAATGAACCTGCCAGAAAGCACAATCGCACCACTGCAATGAAAGGTTTATTTTCTAATGCTTATGCTTCCCCCACAACCTTTGTGCTCTTCCTTTTACTTTATGCCTTAAATTTTTGTTTGAGGACCATTTCAGTTTAGCTACTTTATTTCAGTTTTGGAGCTTCAAATCTTCTTTTCCTATTAATCACTTTTTTAAAAAGGGTGGAGAAAAAAAAGGTAAATATTATCCTTACCGAATGCACAATTGATCGGGCGTCCTCCTCACTGCAACAAAATGGGCTGCCACTCACCAGAACATTTGTGCTGAAAATAAAATTAAAAACATGTTTTATCAGTCAGTGGAAAAGAGACACACACAAGTGTACCTATGGAAAAAAACCCCACAAATCTATGGAAAAAAAACCTGACAAAACCACCTTCACATACAGAGCTCACAAATATATATCTGCAAGAAATAAGTCAAAAACATGAAGCAAGCAGTAATGCTGGAAGCGAACAGGGCTGTGGATAGCTGTTCTTTGTTTCTTTGGGTTTGAGGGTCTTTATAGGTTACATGTTCTATAATAATGTAAGCAGCATTCACACTCAGTGCTTGTGGCATCTAACTTGGGTACAGTTCAGAAGACCACAGTTTAAAAAATAAATCCACCCAGAACGTCAGTGAAAATAAACCAGCACTTCCTGAAGGAGCTGAAGAGCACCTGGCTGGCTAGCACAGACGGTAAGAATATCCCCCCACCTCTCGTCCCTCGAAGGATGGCCAGATTCCATAGCAGGCTACCCTTGGTTTGCAGTAACCTGCCTGCATTATTCAACAAGAAGGAAAAAACACATCAACATTCAGCAACTACATAAAGCAGCACATACTTGTACTGCTTCCAGAGAGCTGACAAACTCTGGGACAAAATACGTTGCAGAAACTTTTCCCTATCATAGAATCATAGAACGTGTTGGGTTGGAAAGAACCTTTAAAGGTCATCGAGTCGAACCTCCCTCAGCAGCAAGCAGGGACATCTTCAACTTGATCAGGTTGCTCAGAGCCCTGTCCAGCCTGATCCTGAATATTTCCAGGGATAGCACACCCACTACTTCACTGAGCAACCTGTTCCAGTGTTTCATCACCCTCATGGTGAAGAACTTCCTGATAGCTAATCTACCCTGCTCTAGTTTAAGACCCTTGTCCCTCATCCTGTCGCTACACATCCTTGTAAACTAGTACCTCCCCAGCTTTCCTGTAGGCCCCTGTAAGTTTTGAAAGGCCACCATAAAGTCTCCCTGGAGCCTTCTTTTCTCCAGGCCAAACAACCCCAGCTCTCTCAGCCTGTCTTCACAGGAGAGGTGCTCCAGCACTTTGATCATTTTTGTGGCCCTCCTCTGGACCCACTCCAACAGGTCCGTGTCCTTCTGGTGTTGAGGGCTCCAGAACTGGACACAGTACTCCAGGTGGGATCTCACCAGAGCGGCAGAATCACCACCCTCAATCTGCTGCCCAAGCTCCTTTTGATACAGCCCAGGGTGCGACCGGTATTCTGGGCTGCGAGCACACATTGCTGCTGGCTCATGTCCAGCTTCTCATCTATCAGTTCTCTCTGAGTCCAAATGAGGCTCATGTTTGCCTCCAAAATGAACAAGACCAAAATTTGAGTATTATCCTACAGCATTCTTATCATGCTGAAGTGGAACTATAAGCCTGTCCAGTTAAGGTGTTCACTTAGCTCTGAGAAAGTCACATTTTCCCAGTAAATTAGAAGACAACAGTGACCATCTGAGCACAGCTTCCTCCATAGCCTTTGCCCTCTGGTTTAGCTAACGGCAATCTACAGCATTTGGGAAGTACCAGGCAAAGATATCTTCCTGCTCTTCAGGGCCTCTGGCACCAGAACTGCCAATACAAAACAGTCCAGAGAGCTTAGTAAAGTCTATTTTAATTTAGATCAGGCCAAAGGCTAGTAAAGAAAATAATCTGGTTCTCTCACTCCAGAGAACAACTGAAAAAACACAGAATCCTAAGCTGCAAAAGAATTTTGCCACACAGCAATGCAGCACTGAAGGATGAAATAAACAAGGGGATTTTCACGGGATACCTATATTCTCCCAAAACGATCCCAAACAAACATTCCAGGGTCACTTCTCAAAAGTTGAAGTATGTCACTCTGTCACTTTTATATAATCAATATATTTTTGGAACCATTTATCAGTTAATCATCATCATACAAGGTGCAATTAGTCATTCACAGTCTATTATCAACTAATTATCAATCAAAATCATGACTATGGCTGTCATCTCAAAATAAAAAGATCTAAGCAGTTCATGCACAGTTGCCACGCGTTGAATACCACCAGTACTAGCACAATACAAAGATGAAAAGACATGACTGGATACTTACCACTTAATAGCACCTCCATCAGCTTTTTTATGAAGCAAAGCTTTCCAGTATTCATGGGTGGATTTAATAATTTCAACAGCAAAATCCTAGTTTACATCAAGGAAAAGTTTCATGAATTAAAATGGTTTTAAAAAGAAAAAAAGCCACAGAACTAGCTTATTAAAACATACTGTTTCATGTGTTATTTTAAGGGCCCTCCTTTGAGTCCTCATTAAATTTCTGGAAAATATAACACCCTTTTTATGAAACGAAACAAACTTCACTATCAGTCAAATACACTGGCAACACATTCAGGACTTCCTCCAGTCCACAGCCAGAAAACAGGAAGGCTGCATGAAAAAATTAAATCAGCACTAGATGCTAAGCAGACACCTACAGCTGTAGAAAACTGTACCAGGTACTAAATGGAAGAAATTGTGTGAGCCATGACTCCTCTGCTGCACGTGTACATCAGGGTCAGAGTTAAAGTTTTCCCACTAGCGGCAAAATTTGTATTTACTTCACTAATTGCACAATTATATACTAAAGCATTTGCAGCAACGTAACACGTCAGCTGCTCAACAGTTTTTTTAAAACAAAGGTAATACTGAAGGTGCAGCAGGAACAAAAATGGCTTAAAAAAACCCCAAAAGTAAAGGAAGCCCTCAGTGTCCACAGGATGATATCTAGACTGGTTTGCAAAAAGCTTCCAGCAGAAATTCACATTTCCTAACAAGGAACAACTTGGCAAAACACCAGCAGAACATTGCGAACTTCACCGGAGCTGCTGGAGCACAGCCGCCGCTGCACCCTGGGTCTCTAGAAATGCTTGAGAATCACTCAAGTGCTCCAAACCAGCTATCTCAAGGCATTTAGTGCCTCAAGCCTGAGCTCCAATGGCCTGACATGGATCGACCCCTAAACTGTCGCTACAGAGCAAGAGAGCTCCAAGATCTCCAAGATCAGTTGGAAGATCTCCAAGAGCAGTTCCTGGGAGAAGAGCTTAGGTTATCAGGCTTTACAACTCGACATGTGATTGATTTAAAAGACAGTTTTAGTGCAGAGAGGACTCAGGGCATCCCTTTAATCAGACAAAACATGTAAAGTTGCCTGTGCTGGTTAGAAGGCATTTTATAACTTCGATAGCACACGGCAAGGCTGAACTAGCTGACACATGGCCACCACTCATCAGGAACCTGTGATTCTTTGCCAAAATTAGTTTACAGGGAACGTGCAATACTACATATTTTGCAAAGCACTTTTACTCAAAGCACACCCAATTTTGTCTGGAAAAATCCAGGTATTTTCTTCAGTGAGGTCTATTCTGAGGTCCATCCTCCTACTCTCAAGCACCGGAAAAAAACCAGGAATTTTCTTCAATGAACTCTATTCCTAGGTCTACTCTCCTTTCAAACACTATTTATTACTGTAAATAGTTCAAAATGCCATTCACATTTTCTAAAAATGGGAAAAATATTTTTTCAGTCTTCAAGCCAAACACGGTTCAGATGTTTCTGTGCAGCATTAGCAGGAAAAGGTAGACCTTGGCAAATACCAAAACCAAAAAAACCTGCAACCCATTGCCCAATTTAAATTTAAAAAAAATTTCAGGAAAATTTATCAATCAGGACTGAAAACACCTGAAAAGATCACCTGTTCCTTCCTCTGGCTGGGAGAACAAAAATGCTTTGAAAAACACATACAAACAGATGCACATGTCAGTTCCACCAGCATTAGGACTGAATGCTTTTTGCAGACTTTCTTCAATATCCGAGGCATTTTCCCGGAATAAAATGGAAGATGGCAAGCATTATGTATTCCAGGCCTAATAAATTGTATTCAAAGATCCATCATATAAAAATTCTTTTTGTTAAATCTTCTCCTGTACAAATTCTAGCATGTATTAAAAAGGCCACATGACAAAATCATGCATCTTTAATTGTGCATTATCTTCACCTTGTCTTTAAACTCCCCATTAAAAGCGAACCGGTTTTCCAGTTTACCATCAGGAATTTTATATAATCGGAACCAGTCAATCGTAGCCTCAAGGTAACCTGGTTTGTGTTTCTTGACATCATCAATATCTGTAGGTTAAAAAGAAAAAAAAAAGAAAGACGAAAAAAAGGACTGGTCATTTTTACTCACAGTTTTTGTAAAATTCATTTTTTAAAGTCTCGTAGAGGATCTGCAAGCAATTAGATTTCACTGAGCAGTTTCAAAGTCATTGGGGAACCTCATTTTATTACATAAGATACCAACTATGGGCAGCTAATGATTTCACAGTCACACTAAACACGTAAATCAGTTATCTCCCGCCCATCATTAATCAAGACCCAAAGGGACAACGAATAAAAAGACCATACTTGTGAAAGGAGAGGAAGAAAATTCTGGATTTATAGGCTTTCATTTCAGTAGGTACTTTTTGCAATACTTTCCCCAGCAACTGTAGGGACTACAGGCATTTTTTGATAATGAAAGAATAGCTAGTGGAAACAATTTCAACACATGTACTTTTAAACAAGCACCTCAAAACAAAATACAGGCTTGACTTCTCAAAGGTATATGGAAGACATCCTCTTGCTCGCTGCACTCCCCAGTTCAGTCCATTAGATAATAAAAAACAGATATGTGCCAGGAGCACTACACACTAACTCTACTGATAACCCCCACGACACCTGCAGACGCACGGCAATAAGCCAACTCTACCTTTACCTCTATAACCCTACTGTCCAAAGTTGAATGGGACACAAAGAGGAACGCATCCCATTTGCGGGGCACCCTTGGGAGGCAGAGACCAACAAGGCCACAGCGGGTACAGAGAGACTAAATAGTCACATAGTAATTCTGCTTGAGGGCTATACTGCTACAGCAAAGATGCAGGTCATGATCTTGAACACTTACTTCTGCTGTGCGTATCAAATTTTACTGGGTTGTCCTGTGAAGCTACCATCACTCCCGTCACTTGCAAAGAGGTGGTCCTACCAGACCCTTGGCAAATGAACTCTGGTAATATATTTACCTGGAAAAGTCTTCAATACAATTTTAATTTATTCTGATACTATAAAGGATTTTGTCCTTTCCAGACACCAAGCGTTTTTTGTACCTGGTGTAATCCTTTTCTCTCCATCTATTTGCCTGCTACCGTCACTTCTAACGAAAATAGGAGCTGACTTTTTATTGTTGTGCTTTGCACGCAGTCTTTCAGCTATTTCATAACCTCACTCTGCCCAGACCACCTTCTGGGGATGTTATTCTCCTTCTCTAGTGTTTGCACATCACTTGCTCATTTCTCCTGACTCCCTCTCGCTCTCTCTCCATCTTGCTTGGCTACTTCATTCTCTTCTGCCAGAGATACACCTCACCCACTGATATCTCCTGGTTGGCAGTGGTTCCTGATGGATACTATTCTTTCTATCCAACTCTATAACATCTATAAGATAGATTTTCAGAGTTGCTTAGTCTACAGCATTGACATCTTGTCTGTGCCTTCCATCCTTATATGCCTAAACATCTTTTTACAATCTAGTCTGTGAACCTGAACAAAAACATTCTTCAAGTATTTCTGAGAACAGAGAAGAGAAGAGAAAAAGTCTTGTGCTACAGACCATTCAATTCACTGTAGACCACCAAGAGAGATGGCACGTGGACTGAACTGTGAGGAGATACACTGTGTGTTCATACGCATCTGATAGATGCCACTCCCAAATTCCACTGAATCACACTACTAAAAAGAATAAAACACAAAACTTTGAAGAACTCCATGTAAAGTTTTGCTTCTGCACACACTTAACAGGGCTACGTGTTTATGGACTCAAGAGTAAAACACATTTTGAACTTGGCTGCTGGCCATCCGCCTGTAGAAAATTAGAGAGTTTTATTGGCAGAATCCCAGAAAAAAACAAGGGCACATAAGGCTGTGCTAGAGGCAGGTCTTCTAGTAGGAATATGTGTTTAAGAGCACAGGAAGCTTTTTGCTGGAGTGGGTGGGTGAGACCAACCAAGAAGGAATGATTTAGAAAAGAGGGTCTTGGTTGGAGGCAGGATGCTTCATTTGAGCACTAAGAAAACTGCAGCTCCAATTCAAATTGGTTTCAGAGCTCCAGTGTATCACCTCATTCTCTCCAAGCAAGGGAACATCCTTCCTCCCGTCCTGAGCCCTTGTCATCTCCTCCTCTTGGGAGGTTTGAGCTCAGAATGTTGAAGAGACTTGTTGAACAGAGAGTATCTCTTCAAGTCTGCAAAGCACACCAGGCTGCTGCAGCAATTTCCTTAGCTCCCAGCAGTGGATGAACTCCAGATCTCCATCTCTAGACACTACATAAATTCAAGCATACTTTTTAACACTGCTGCTCCTTTTCTTCTGGTTCCTGTTTCAGTAAACTTCTCTCTTAACTTTGCTTTTCTGTTCTTCCTACTTGGTTATTTGCCTCCTATTCCCATAAAAACTGGTCATCAAAAGTGCTTCACTGTCCACTAACACTTGGGCCCTTCCCCATCTGTTGTTCCTTATTTATAGGCTTTGTTTATATTTCTTTAAAGGACTCAAAATATTAAAATAGGTTTTGGGACATGCTTTCATTACCTCCTTGATATAGGGATGACCACCTTCATGGATAGAAACACTTCACTGAATTTTACACTCTCTGTACTGGAAAATAACTTGCCTAAGTTAAGTGACCACACAGAATCAGGCTACAGCATTACATGGCCCCTAAAGTACCAGCTGCTGTATAATCTGTGTTTTGAGAACTTAAGCAGGAAAACAGTAATTTTTATTTCCTTGGTTCCCTTCAAGTTATTCTCCTTCATCTCCATATTTCACTTCATTATTCTCTATTACAAAGGACATCTACCAGGCACCTAATGAAGCTTAAAATAGTTTAAGGAAAAAAGCAAACACCAAAACATCTGTATTATAAAAGGAGTTGGTGGCATGTGGCAGGAAGAAGTGCAACAGTACAACACAAAAACCCGAAAAAGATCCTGTTGCTGTGGAGTCAGCACATGGCACAAAAGATAAGGAAAACAGCAGCTCTCGCATCACTCAACAGCTACCTCTTCAGTTCATTAAAAGGTGCCACAGAAAAGCTTAAAAGACAGCCTGTCCTCAATGTTGAAAGCCAAACAGTGTCTCTGAGATATCAGGGGGAGAAGGGAGAAAAACGTACTCAAAAAACAGAAGAGCAAGCAAAAAGATAAAAGATCACGATAAGCAGTACAGTGAATTACTGCACTAATATCTACAGACACTAGCTGCATATTACAATTTAAAAAAAAAAACAAAAACCAAAAACCAAGAACCCCAGCTTGGGTGTCTTTTCCGCAGCAGAAACTATTAAGACACTTTTTTCTGACCCTGACTGCTAACCTTCCCTTAGAGCTACGTAGTCACACTGACGTCAAAAGGTGCTGAGCAGGTATGGGAGTAGCAAGCACATGCCTGGGCTAATGCGGTTTCATCTCAGCAAGCAAGCCCTGCTTAGAGCACCAGAGCAGAAAGGTCAGGCTCCTGCAGGGACACCATCAGCACGTACCCACTGGGCTCTAGACGGCAATTTCTTTATACTGCTCACATACAACCCCAAGTCCCAATTTTCTGGGCACTTTAGTCTCAATAAGGAAAATCTCTAGAGGCTGGCAAGACAACTGCTGCTAGCTCTCCATCAGGGGAGTCAGCCAATGCAAATGGAGATCCCAATTCTATCTGGCTTTACAGAAGAGAGCAACAAAAACGTTTGTACAAAACTACCATTTTTAGTACAACAGATGCTGCTTCTTGCAAGCAAAGCTAAAACAACATGCTTGCAGCAAGCTTTCTAAACAAGGTCTGTGGGAAGAGAGGACATATGTTTTTAATAACATCTTATAAACATTTACAGGAAGCAGCAGCTACATTCCATATAAAGGCATTTGGTGTATTTTGTGCAGCATGGTGCGAGGGGGTAGGAGAGGAGCCTCAGTACACATAATTAATTTCTTTATATTGAATGCTTACACAAATCCACAATAAAGGTTTTCAGGGCCCCTGATGCTTCTCTGCAAATAAATACATTCAAATGCAAGTGTCTATAACAATGTATGGTACAAAGTATGTGGTACGCTTTGTTTTTGCCATTTAGGGTTTGATCACTTAGTTCAAAAAGCCAATCTTGAGTTGCATATGAAGCATGGCAACATAACACAGTTAACTACAGCACAGTGCCAGCAAATGGTAGTGCAACAAAGCCAGGAGCCATCACCAACTGCTGCTGAATATATCCTGGCATCTTTCCAAGTGAGCAATACTAAAAAATGGCTGCTAAGATTCCAGGCCAGTAAATCACCTCCAAATGCCATCCAGCACACATAATTTGTCCAGCTTGCTCAGGGAAAGTAAGATGACCTTTTGCAAGCAAGACTTCCATAAGCTGCTTCTCGCGCTTTCTGTCTCAGCCGCCAGTGATTTTCAGAACCTCTCGTCCCATCTGAAGATGCCATATCTATTTAGACCAAACTTCAGCACAAAACATATCACTCGTCCTTTCCTAGTCTGACCTTGAAAAGCACATCAGATATGTAGGTGAATTCCCACATATTAAATTCAATTCAAATTACGATATAAGCAGACAAGCAACCTTTCCAGTCCCAAGAATTTGCTTCTCATGGCTAGTATCTTATAAAAAAAAAAAAAAATCAAAAACCACCACACCAAAAAAAACCCCTCAAACCACCAAAATGCAACAACAGTAACAAAAAAGTAACTAGACCCATTACACCACCAAGATTCAGGGGTTCAGTGTGCAGGGAGCTTTTAGGCCCTTTCCCAGACTTGGTTGGTCTGAACTAACCAGCAGACTCTGCTGCTCTGCTAAAGGCCATCTATCTGCCTAGTAACTGCCTGAGTAAGAAAGACAAGGTAGTGGTTTTCAGGTAGTGACAAAGACAGATCTTACTGACAGAGACAAATTGGAAGATGTCCAGTTTTAGTCTGAAAGAAACTGTCTCATACAGATACCTGCATCTACTTGTATTTGGAGTGAGACTGAGCCTACCCCCACCAGTATTAAGGGCTACATTTTCAAACAGATTACCTTTCAAAATCAGTCCAAAAAGATACTAAGCCCCTTCTGTTCCCACCAGTGACACAGTTCCTGCTTGAATCAGTGCTAAGCATTGCTTGCCATTCCTCGGTATTGTCACTACAAACTACAGTTTCTCATTGCTCTGTGTGAAAGTGAGTTCTAGGCAGGGATTCCAATTTAAACCAATATTTATCAATAAATGCCTGCAGGATACAGTACAGTGGAGTGCTATGAATAAACAATTACAACTGCTCAGAAGTTGGGACTGCTCAGTTTTAAGTTCTGTGAAGTCTCAGAAAAAAAAACAATTGCACTTAGGAGAACGATCACAATTCCAGAAGGAGAACATACAGAGTACCTGGGGTGTGCTTAAAGCAGCAAGAGGAGTTAAGCACTGCACGGGCTCAGGATGGGGTCTGCATGTGATCACCACTCTGGTGTCTTGGAATTATCTTTTCCAAATGTTCACTGGGGGCTGTGCACATACTGAGCTGAAAGTAAATGTGATGATTCTCAGTCCAATTTGAAATATTTAGCAAAAGATACAAAAATGACTGGACAGACTTAGAAGTCAACACTTAAGCCTCATCTTCCCCTAGGAGGCCCCCACCATAACACAGCAGCACACCAATTACTGAGGGACATATCCCTTTTATCTGTAGCTGCTATTCCTTTACGCTGAAATAATTACCATCTTTGGGAAGGGGGGAAAGCAAGTACAAAGAGACATATTCTACTGCCTACTCCAACAGATTTGCTTGTTTTCAGACTGAAGAAGGATTGCTGTTAAACTCTGCAAGCTAGTCATGTTTTGTGAAAGTACATGGGGGCTGTTCTTCTTCCCCCTCTTTTTCTTTTCTTCCATAAATCCTGGACTGCCAACTCCAATCCCAAAGGGAAATCAAATTAAACTGGATAAGTATTTCTCTGCACTTCTGTGAACCTCGGAAGGACAGTTTTCTTGAAGTTTTGCACCTATTCTCTGACAAGAAAGGATGCACACAGCAATCAACTACAGGCAATGGTTTGCCCATTTTTCTTCTTTTCCTTCTCTTCTTTTTTTTTTAGAAAAGAGATGACTAGAACTCTTATTCCCCTTCCAATAAACTAAAGCTGTAGCACAGCTGACACACATCAGTTATTACCTGAAAAAACAAAACAGAGGGACTTCAAATACAGCTACTTCACCCAGTGGTATAAAGTGTCTCAGTTTCACCTCTACTTAGTTGACTCTTTAAATACTCTCACCCCTTTTTCTGATTAAACTCTCTCAGGAATTATAAAGAAAATAAAGGTAAGAATTAAATAGAAAAGTGTATAGAAATAAAGTCCTAATTACTTGGGTTTTTAACTACTGACGCTTATATTGCATTTCACCACACATTGGAGAGGTTTAAATTGATACTACCACAAACAGTAAACTATTACTTCCTTAAGCTGAACTTCTTAAACTCTGACAAAGTAGTAATAAGTATCATAAACACTATGTAGTAACTCGTTTGCCCACTGATTTTAATCAGCGTTAACCCAAGAGTTTCTTTTTCCTCACTTCCTCTTCTCCCCTTCTTTCCCCACAAGCCAAGTATTCTCCATGTGAAAGCAACCTGCAAGAAAACTGAGAATGAAGGGCTAGTCCAGTTATACGCTCACTTTACATTCAGAAACCAGGAAAAAGCCTCAATGGCCAAGAAACACAATTCCTTAAAAACCTACTGGATAGCCCTATTCCTACAGGGAGGCCACTCTGTGTCTCCGTGCTCCCTACGACCCAAAAGCAGGCTGTCTGTACAGATGTTTTTGGTCTCATAACGATCACTAACTTTTAGACAAACCCCACTTTAATTCTCATGATTCCCCCCCAAAAAAATTGCATTTGTGGAAATGAACCTCCAGAGAAAACCTGCACTTTATTTGTACAGTAAAAACCTAACTCCCTGCTGTTCTAACACATCTGTATTATCTTCCTATCCAACAGTCTGCAAGCAGAATCACACCTCACATGCTATTCACACAGACACACTTTAGTACTTGAATTCCATTTGCATACCAGAAGCATGGTCACAAGGAGAAGCCTGGACAGGATGTTTTGCCCTGTTCAGCTAGTCATCATCAAGACTAAGGTGAGCTACTTAGCAGTTTACTTTGCAGATTTTCAAGCTAAAAGGTTGTACTGGGTTTGTGTGGCCAGACACGTGGAGGGGTTTTATTGGGGGGCAGGGGGCCTATACCAGAAGCTTCCCCTGGGTCTGATATAGCCAGTGCCAGTCGGCTCGAAAGACAGACACGCCGCTGGCCAAGGCTGAGTCTATCAATGATGACAGTAATGGCTCTGTGATAATATATTTAAGAAGTGAGGGGTAAAATAAAAAACTACTGCGCTCAGAGAGAGAGAGAAGTCAGAATATGTGAAACAACTCTGCAGACAACAAAGTCACTGAAGAGGGAGAGAGAGGATGTGCTCCAGGCACCAGAGCAGAGATTCCCCTGAGTCATGGTAAAGACCCTGGTGAGGCAGGCTGTCCCCCTGCAGCCCATGGAGGTGATGGGGGTGTAGATGTCCACCTGTGGCCCATGAAAGACCCCATAAGGAAGCAGACAGATGCCCAGAGGAGGCTGTGACTCCATGGGAAGCCCATGGTGGAGTAGGTTCCTGGAAGGATCTGTGAACCCCTGGAGGTACCTGGCCTCCAGCTAGGGTCAAAACACTACAAAGGTGAAACCTAATCATTCTTATTAGGCAACAAACCCTGGAAGTAACTCAGTTTAAGTGACAAAACACTGGAAACATACAGCCCTATTCAGAATGCAACACAATGCCTGCAAATATAAATGGAACAAACACTTTCAACAAGTAAAATAGCAGCATGCTACATAATCTGAGTAGGTAAATATGCACTATTACACAGGAGATAAGCCTGTCATTTTAAGAGGTCACTCTGAGGCAATCATGTTTCAGAAGTCAAAAGATTTTCTGCATGGCAGGCCCTCTTGAAAATCCAAGTGAACCTTTTCAAAAGCATAGCATGAAAGCACATATCCTCTCCTTGAAGGAAGGACCCGATTTAAACACAAACAAACAAACACAGTCTTGCTTCTCTGCTGTTTGCCTCTTCTCAGGTGGCCTAAACTCAGGTACCATTCTACCGTGCATGTTGCTAACATAACTTGCATTAATAAAGAATAAAAATACTTGCCATGGATTTTCTGAGCTTCTGGGTCATCTGCACTGATAGCAATTATTTTCCAATCTGTCTCTCCTTCATCAACAAGACCTAAAACACCCAAGACCTTCACCTGGACAATCTCACCAGAAGAACGAATCTGAAATGGAACATAATCTCACATAGATTTGGAAAACACTACATAGAATTTCTCATTTACCTTACAGACAAAATACTTTTACTGCATTTTTGACCAGCAGCTAACAGAATTGCAAGATAGATCTGTAACTCCCATACCTGTTTAACATTACTAGCCTTTCCGCCACCATTGCAACTCTTTAACCCTCCATTCTCCAGTTGGCATTTATTCAAGTACAAAACAAGCTAGGAAGTTTTTCCTTCTCTTTTACCCAACTCCCCCCTTCAAACAGCTTCTTGATCTTCACCTCAAAATGCAAGTCAAAAGTATCTCATATTCAAAAATCTTTTAACTGCTTCCTGCCTCTCTACTCTCTCAACTCCTGGTCTTAATCTATCTCTTGTTGTTCCTTCCACTAGACTGCTATACACACATAAACACACAGGCCTTCCACAGAAATATCAGCACAATTTTTCTTTGCATTTTCTTGGATTCTTCTCCCTACCGGGCAACATTCCTTTTATAACTTTCTGCATCCCTTGAAATTCAGCTTTAGGTTCCTTTCCTCAAATAAGGTCACCTTTTGCTAAGGTCATCAATTAAACTTCCCCTTACCTAAACTATGAGAGATCCCTCTTCCAAACTCATCTATTTCATAATCCCATTTTTGATACCACAGAGGACTGCTCCATTCTTTGCTGTCGCCAGATATACAGAGTTTTCTTTTAGTGGGATAAACCTTTTCCATATACCTACTAATGATTTCTGCTGCACCTATTTTCATCAGTCCACTTTGCATCTCATAACTTCGCGACACTGCAACAGGTTCCTGTCTTCTCCCCCAGAGAACAGGGATCTCCTGTTCGAACCCATGATAAAACTCAAATCTTCATCTTTTGCGGGTCTGACTAATTTATATGCACAACGCTGCAATACTTCTTCATCTTTCAGAAACTTATTCCTAGCTCCAGTACTGCTAACAGGTGAAAAATGAAATCTTCTTCCTTCCCAAAAAATCTTAACCCCCTCCTCCTTCACGCAAAACTCACTGTCCAGCCACAGAACTTCAGGGTCGTGCTCTTCTTTTCCCTTTTAGTGAGTACCCAGACTTCACCAAGTCCTACTGTTCTTCTCCTTTTTAAAAATTCATCACTTCTTTACCTATTCCCTCCTCAGATCCTCTATTCATATTTTTGTCATCCCCTGAGACTATTATCAACTTTCTCTGTTTTACATCTGCCCTGCTCTTCCAAAAGTTGTTACCAACTTACTAAATTAATAAAATTAATCCTAATAAAGACAAACCTTTGAACCTATTTCACAAACGTCAATAGGATCATTATCTCCACAACATCCTGTAATGTTATCTTTATGGTTTGGATCTTCCCAGGTCTGTCAAAAGAAAGAGAATTTAAGTTACCAGCTGATCTGCAATTACAGTTTCCCTAACTATGAAATTACTGAGAATAATAAAAACACCACTGAAAGTACTAGCTTTCTGAGAACAGGGTTGCTCAATGGGAAAAGAAAAAACAAACAAACAGCCAATAGACTGGCACCAAGTAATTCATCCTCATCTCAGGACAAACAACATGAGGATTATTTGAGGACATCATAAGGATTAACTGCAACCCTGACTCAGACACCCTTTATCAAATTGCAGTGATTAAGGCATCATTGCAGTGACTAAGGACCCTGAATATGTATTTTTCTGGTTACTGGTGGTTGTGGGATTAAACTAGGTCATCATACAGTTACATTCTTCTTACACTCTTTAAATACTATGGCACTAACTTAGGTTGCTTTCAAAAACATCTAGGCATCTAGGATTTGAGCTAACCAAGCTCCTAGGTATGGATCTGTCAACACACAATTAGCTTTTTAAAGCTTTCACGTTTAGCTATGAAATATTTCTGAGTACTCTGAGATGTATACGTTTCCAAGAACAGCCAAGAGCTTAAGACCAAAGAAGCTTCTCCAGGAGGAAAGTTAAAATCCCTGCTCTGAGCTTTGTACAAGCAAGAAATCACAACCAAGTTATATTAACTTAATTACTAGACCAATACTTGGTTTGTCTCTTACTGGCTAGTAATGAGTAGCTCATTCTCAAGTTGAGTTTTCCTGGTAAGAATTTTGAGCCCAATGAAGTTTTGTTGCAAAGAAGTTAGAAAAATTTTTTTCAAAGCAGCTATACTGTTAGCTCTGGCTGTCCGATGTCAAATCTCCACCTCAAACTTGTTCTTGAGAACTTGACTGATACTAAAAGGCAGTGAAAAGCAAGTGTTTGGGTGTTTAGATAGCAGAATCATTATCAAGAAAATGCTGAATTGGAGTCAAGAGAGAATTTCAACTTAAAACTTATTTTTCCAATGCTCTTCTGAGATACTTTTTATTTAAGGCTGCATTTCACCACTACTGTTCTCCTGCACAGCCCCACTTCTGCCACCTTCCACGAGGAAGGAAAGCTCTCTAGAAATGATACTGTTCTCTGGACAGTACAGCAACTCCTGCAACAGTGACAGTCCTGTCATTTTTTTTCCTCTTCTGCTCCACAGCATAAAAGAGCAGCCACAAATACACATCTTTAAGCCATATACTAGGGTTGAATTACTGGCAACTGCTGATCCCAATTAAAAGTTCTCTTGTGATAACAGAGACATCGAATTGGATTTTGTTTGTTACAGCTGCTAGTAGGAATCTGGAGTATCATTTAGACTTCAGCAATGGGAGGTGTAATGATCCATCTGGTATTTTAAAGTTACTACAGAAAATAAAACTGACAATTATCCCCAGCCCTCTCTGACTCACAAGGTGACAAGTGGAGCCAAACGTTTCTCCTGGGGAAAGTGTCATTGGTCCAAAATAACACAGTTTGCAAGAAAACATTCACATTTAATTTTGGTTTTGTACTAAGGCACACATGCATTTCAGAACCATAATGGAATAGATGGTTCCCAACTACACCTGCTTGGAAGCTTTGTCTATTGGTAGTGCTGACTGAATAAGAGCTTCACTGCTATACTTTGACACCTGCCTGGTATCTCCTTTTCAGGAAGCAAATACATAAGTGGTTTTCAGGAGAAAACCTTCATTGCTTATGCAGTTAAGTGTAAAGAAAAGAAATTACTCTCTTCTAGCTCCATCGTGTTCTTCAATACTTATTTAATGGGTTACTCACAGAAATGAAAAAGTTTAAAAACTTTTTGTTATGCTCCAAATTTCAGTCATTTGGTCACAATTTGGGTGTGGGTGTAAACACAGGCTGTGTTTCTGGGTCTTTTCAAGGCTCAGTGTTTTGAATGCATCGTGACAAGTGAAGTCTCACAGTTTCAGAGAAAAGTTAATTAAGGCAGTTGAGGTTTAATCTAAAAAAAACCAAACCCAGCTTTTAAGTTCCTCTTTGTTGAAGATATTAAGAAATCCCAATTAAAATTTGTGCTGCAATACTTGAAAATCCTAGATTAGGTTGTTGGGGTTCTTTTTTTTAAACGAGTCTTGTTTAAGCAGAAAAGGGCTACTTTACAAAATATTCTTGAATGGTAGACCATGACAGTTGAATTCTGTCACAGTATAGAAACACAGACTAAATATTCAAGATTTCTTAATCATTTAATGCCTTCCAGAAACACAGCCTGTGTTTGCACCCACACCCAAATTGCAACCAAAATTTATGGAAACAATAAAGCTCAACATAAAAAAAAAAATCCTAATATATAAATGTATCAAAGAGAAACCTCCCTCTCGCAACTGATTTGCATTCAGGCAGTAATCAGGATTTACAATGCAATTTACACAGAAGACAGAAAATTTTCACCATTATGACAAAAATGTTACCTGTGGGAGGGCACCATAATTCCATATATAACCCTTGTGAGGAAAGATATTTGCCACATATCTGAGCTTGCCTTTCTTCGTATCTTGTTTAATGGGATTCAACGGCTCCTCGGTGGCAATCTAAGGAGATCGTAAAAAAGAGACAGAGACAAAGAGAATGGTAAAATAGAAAGCATTTCATTCTGCATCCAACTAGTTAGGACGATCCATCTGGGAGCACACGTTTGCGGTCTGAGAAGTATTAAAATTGCGATGGCCTCATTCTAAATCTCAAGGGTCATGTTCAAAAAGCAGTTCATTAAGGTTTTAAATAACGTTGTGAAGTATACAAGAAAAAAACGAATCTAGACAAGAAAGTCATAAATTTATAAGGAGACTGTCACGGTCAAACATAAATACGGAAAAGAATCTAACTCAGAAGCTCTTGCACTTTATAGTACAAATTCAACAGACGTGCAAATGGTGGCACAAGTTCTCCTGACACCAGGGAAAATGTTTCATCTTCTTATTCTGTTCATCACTCTCCTATTGCATATACCCCTTCTCTCCATCACCTCTCCACAGACAAACGCTTTTTAGTAAGCACAAGTTTTGCATAGTCACCAAACGCTAAACTTAAGACAGATTTGGAATAAGTTAAGGTAGCATTAGAAGGCAGCTTCCTTACTCCCAAAGAAGCAATCTTCTTTGGACTCTTCCACAGAGTTACCAACCACACAGCTAATTCACTGTAACCGTCCTTCTGACACTCCACATCACAATCAAATCCATGTTAGTTTGGCTTTTGCTTAAAAATCCTCATCCAAAGAGCATCGCGTTTGTAACAGGCTCGAGTGGTTACACCAGCACAGGTGGCACAGAGCTTGCATGTGCAAGCACACAGCCCTTAGTGTGTACTCATTTTGCAACATCCTTGTAATTCACCTAAAAGCACCAACAGCGAAACCACCCCAAAGGGATCACACCTTTTTGAACCACACCAAACTGTCAATAGCAGGTACTTATTCCACAAGTTAACCCTCCCTAAGAGCTGAGATCGAGGTTTGCGTATTTCTGGTTTCATACTTGATTCTACCTAAGTCCCTGAATGTGCCACCTGGGACTTTCAGCAATGCTTTGTCTTGATGTAAATAGGAACAAAGAGGCGTAACTGACAACAGCAGAGGAAAGTCTCACAAAAAGCACCTTCAGTAAAACCAAGAGAAGGACAGCAGAAATACAACGCACTAACGAGCACTAGTGATACTACAGTGGGAAGCATTCCATGTGAGGCAATCTCAGAACAGAGGCGCAGACAAGACCTGGTATTAGCAATTTAACAATGTCCGGACTGAAGATCTGCCAGGACACAATGGCAAGGCAAGACAACTGCCTTAAAAATTATTGCAGGAAATTTCAAGTATATTAAAAGTTACAGAGAACCACACCTGGTCTCCTCTATTAAGCCAAAAAGGTCTAAACCTGCTGATTTCTGAACCTAATACAAAATTCGTAAGGTTCATAAAGAATCATAAAGATTATCTTTTGGGCAGAAATTGGGGCATTTCAGGGCTCTTCTACCATTTCTACCCTTGACATAATGTGCCAAGAGAAGGGGGCAGAAAGCAAGGCAGAGCTGCAACACAGAGCTTTATATAGAGTTAAAATAGTTCTGTCAAAGGGAAACGGCAAAAGAGAACTCAGCTTCCACAATAAATCATCATCTTAAAATACAAGGTAAATATCCAAGGTAACTCTACTTGCAGAATAAAGCTGTGGTGCTAAGCACAGTGCAAATGATTTTCCAGCATCAGGAAAAGCACAAAACAGAATTCTGAAATAACGGGCTGGGCAAGTTCTTTGGTGTTATTTTTAATAATCAAAATAGTTCAAATCCAAACAGCTCAACACAAACTTCCTTAAAAGCATCCATGAAACTTCCCTAAAATTAATAAAGAAGGAAGACAGGACACAGCCTAGTGAGATCCATTGTTTCATGAACAGTATACTTTCAGTCAGTGAAGTCCCCAAGAATTACTTTTGCATCACAAATATTTTTGCATTTGCAACTCAAATTTTCAGGAGCAATCCACACCAAGTAAACTCTGACTATTGGAAGCCACTGCACTTTCATTACTTTCATAAATACCTATATAATCAGGGCATTTTTCTCAATTACCTCCATTTTTGCATTTGTCCAACGAGGCACTTCTACAATCATATTAAACAGGACCTAAAACAAGAAAAAATTACAGAACTGAGAATAAAATCCACTTGTCAATTAGTATTTTACAGTAAGGAAAATCCTTTCCCTTGTATTCAGCAGCAACACATATAACATCCTTGTTCCAGCTCGTATGTTAAGTAGAATTTGTTTAGTTCTGAACAACAATACTCAGACTCCTCGGTTCATCCTTTCCCCACTTAATTCCTTTGAGGATATGAACTACAAGTACTGGAAATCCACATGATGTTTTTTTATTTCCATATCAATACTACCCCTGCACAAAACGCAAGTCCATGGCATAGTTTGTCACAAGGCAGTGGTTCAGTCTACTAGTCAAAGAGGACTGGACATATCCATAGGACAGAGGTGGCTTCCCTCAAGCACCGGAAAGGACAATGTTTTGCTTTTTTCCCTCCTAAGGATTTATTTCTTCAGGCCCTCTTCTTCTGCCTCATTCATTTTTTCAAAAATCCATGCAAATGCAACAGCCACTGACCAGTCTGATTCTCAGTCAAATCTGGTTGCATTGAGGCAAAAAGAATCCAAAAGTGATGGCAAAGGAAGGGCTTGGGCACAACTATCTTCAGTTTCTGTTAGCCTTCTTCCTAACTGAAACAAAGTGAAAGTTGTTTTAAGAGGGGTGAGAGAGGAATAAATCTAACATATGTAAATTTTCATGCTTTTAGAAGAAAAGTAATCTACATCCTTCTAACTGAGGATGTTAAAGCAGCATTTTCCAAAGAGAAAAACTCTGGATAACTACTGTAACGTTTCTTCTTCTGAAGCTGTCCAAGTTAAGCACTACTAAGGAAAAGAGTGTTAACTGAAACAGGTAACTAGACTAAACCACCCAGTGATGTCTACAACCTATTTTCTCCCAGACTACCAAAAGAACTCCAAAATATGACATAGTGTGGGACGTCCTCTTCATAGCCAAGAGGAAATTTGCATTGGTATAAAAAAAAAAAATCACAAAAGTTCAGGAAGGAAAAAATATGCTTTTGTATTAGGGAAAAAAAATACAAAGTCAAATCAACTGAAGATTTGCACTGACTCTAACTACACTGCAATTAAGGCTCCAGTGGCTCCTAAATATTTGTATTTTTGCTCCTAGTATCCTGCAGCTGCAACACACAGATACCATTACCAGGGTCAATGTCATGGTCTGATTAAAGTAATTCCAATGATTCTGTGATATTTTCTTCCCAAGCAAACCTGGAATGGGGAAATCAAGAAAGTACTAGAAAATCCCAACTGTCACTCAGTATTTTTCTCCCAGGAAGATCATAAGTTATGTACAATTCTGACAGTAAATTCCCAGTAAATTTAAATAAAATTTGCCATCCACAAGTACTGTGCCTATACTGCAATCAGTGACATGTCAGATGGATTCACTTTTCCAGATCAGGTCATAACCAAATAAAACTGGGGGATGGCGGGGAGAAGGAGAAACAAGAAAACAAGAGCAGTTGAAAGAGAGAAGTAATCAGGAAGAGAGTCCAAAGATATCAACACTAAGGAACCAGACAGAACAAAGCAACATACTTGCAGCAGCAGGTAAGGAAGGGGTTGGAAGAGAGTCAAATAAAGTCTGCACTTCCATCTGGGAAACACTTGGAAAAAAAGAAACGCACACCATGAAAGCCAGCACTGACAAGAAACTCAGAAACTGCTAAGCAGGTCGAAGAACTGTTCCGACTGGCAGGTACTGACAGAAAACTTACAAACTACTCCTGGAATTATATGCAATGTGTTCACCACAATCCTGTATTTTTGTCATTTAGATGCCACATTACCTACTCCTGACCGTGGCTAATACAATGGTTTCGGCAGCCTGTGAATCCTGGTTTTGAGCTTTAATTGGTTAAGAATTATTCCAGGTCTTCACCAAAACAACTCTCAGGGCTGGACAACCGGGCTGAAGTGAACACAATACTGCTCTCAAAAGCAAAAAAAATTACTCAGCTCTGAGATCAGGCCTTCATAATATGTGGTCTCAGTCAAATACGAATTGTCAAGACTCTTAAACATGACATCCTGACAGATTAATCTCTATGTAAAAAAATCTCCAAAAGTACTCTCTCCAATGCTAAGACGCCACAAGCATTTACAAGAGATTAATAACTTCATGCAGTGCTTACATTTAAAAATGAAAAAAACTTTTATTTATAGGGCAATCACATTTTCTCTGATGAGACAGGATTCACTGGTGTGGAAATGAGAGCACATACTAGGTAGTTTGATAGATAGAGAGAAGACCAAGCACCTATTCCTCCTAACAATTTGAACGCTCTACCCCATCCCTTGCTGCAAAACCATCCCTGCCTCAGCTGCAAACAGAAATGCAAGTGTCAGACACCACCTGTCCTCACAGCTCACCATCTGCATATGCCACTCAGTGGTTAGTTTTGGACAGTGAGCGCATCTGGTAATTGATACATTTATCTTTATTTTTAATCAGTAAAACAAAAAACTCCACCTCACCAAAAGCCCAAGTGAGCACTTCTACCCCCTCAATCAAGGGTGGCACTGTTTCAACAGTCCATGTGACACACCTTCTATTGACAGGGGAAAAAAAAAAAAGAAAAAAAGACTTCTCATGCAACAAAAACTATTGCTTGGAAAAGTTCCTGTTTAACTGCCTTAGTTAAGGGGTCCACTGGTCTGCCTATGAGATTGCTGCTTGCTGCAGTCCAGATTTAAGCCAATTCTGTAAGCACCTAATACAGAAGAGATTCCACAAGAGCAGACATAACCAGGTGGATGGACGGTGGCCAT